GCTCAAGTTTCATCCAATATTTCACTTATATTCAATTTTAATTGATTAATGCGGCCAAAATTTATCATAATTCATCAGAAATCAATAACGCGAACAAACACACACAAAAACAGACATTCGTCTTTATAAGCACAGATTTTGTAAAACTTGCAAATTTTTTATTAACGTACTCTAGGATTTGAAAGCGAGCAGTAGCAACACTTTTCGAAATAAAACATTTTTATCTCCAACGCGCGAGAAATTGCCACTCGGAAAAATGAGTGCGAAAATTAGCGCTGTCAGAGCTTTTATTAATATTTCGGCTGATTTAAGTCGTACGAAGATGAGAATAGTCTAATTTTTGGAACTCTAGTTTGCAAAACTGTTGCCATTCAGAAAAATGAGGGCAAAAATTATCTTTTTTAATTATATCTCTGATTTTAACTACTTTTTTTTGGAAACGAATGGAGGGCGACCTTTTCCAGGACTCAGAAAAGAATTGTAGAAACTTTGGTGACGATAGCTAAAGTAGTGACCGAATTATTACCGAACAAATAAATAGACTTTTTTCTTTATATAGAGAGATTGCTTAGAATCTATGTTTGGCTAAAATTGCTTTAATATATCTTTTGTTGTTGCTTTTACCTATGACTATTACCTATTTGTTTTACCTAAAATAGCTTAATTGAACTAATATAATGAGGATTATAAGATTTTAAATTAAGTTAAAATATTTTACATGTTTTCTACCTCTCTCTGTATATATATATATATAGGAAGAGAGAGAGTTGTTTATTGTTTGCTTTTTTCGTGTTAGATAGCGTCTCATCTGTGAATTAATTATAACTCATTTTTTTCTTTTTTATTCACATTATTAGCTTTCAGTTAAATATTTTTCAGTTTGGTTATCTAAATATTTTTATATGTATACCTTATATAACAGAATAGGAAAGTCTTTTTTGAAAAGCCAATGGAATTGATCTAATCAGAAATTATACCATAGATTTGGTTTGGTTTATTAAGATTACGGCAAAGCACACTTGGGCTATCTGCCTAAAGGGAGGGATGCCTTCGTGGAGGACATTCTAAAATTATAACATAGAAAAAGTTAAGAGAAATTCTACCTTCCTGACGTTCACTTTTATTTACTACATAAAGTAGCAAGTGACTGTTCGATTCTTATCGCGATCAAAGTTGATTTTTCACGTTTCCCGCACCAAAAACATATCATTCTCTGCAACTGGTTTTATACTTTAGTAGTATTTAGTAGTATTTAGAAGTACTTTAGTAGTATTTAGAAGTACTTTATTTAGGCCAAAATACTACTAAAGTACTTCATCACCACCCGAACTTTGGCGAGAGGGTAAGTGGGTCTCGCACCTCTCCCTAATGCATTTTAAATAAGCTTAACAATAAGAATGTAATGTATAATGGCATCTCTCTCGTGCGCGCCTTTATCTTGTAATTGTTAACACATACAGCAAGCCGCTGAAAGATGTCATATCGTTTTCCGATAGGAGCGCAGTGAATTTTCACTATTATTCTGCATATTATTAATAGTGTTTTATAGGGATCTGTTTAGTTGTAGTAACAGTTATTTTAACTTTTCAACCTTTTCATAATTCTCTTACTTCCCCTCGAATTTTCTCGCCAAGATGCAAATAAAGTAGGTGAACGAGAGTACGGTTGAAACGAAAAATTTAGGAACGGTTAAAACGAAAATATTAGGAAGAGCCTGATTTGGCTAGTGAAGCGCACATTTGCAATTTCCTCCTCCAGTTGGTTACTAGTTAGCTTATCGCCGGTGTATATTTTTGAATCAGCCTGTTATTTTTAAACTTGAATTGTGTAGTCTAGCAATTCTCTTATCTTTAAATTAATTATTAATTAAGTTCTCACCGGAAGTAGTCGGTGCTATTGTAGGCACATAAAACCATGCCTTTCTGTTAAAGAGTTGTGATTAATAAAAGAGTCTGCTACATCTTTCTCGGTGTGTTCATCTTCACGCCTGTGCGAGAATTCGCAGAGGTTTGACATTTAAGTAGATCTAGTCACATTGTATGATAGCCAAGAAGATTAGCTCTTATATTTTCAGTTTCTTCACAGCTGGTAGTAGTAAAACCGTAAAAATCTCATCCTGAGTTAGCATTTTTTCATTTGAAAACTCTACGTAAAGAATAAATTAGAAACATATTTAAAATATGTTTTGCTTTCAACAAAACGTTCCACATTGCGATGTCAACTTAGTCCCTTGGGAAAAAACAGGTCTGTTTGCATCTTAGTAAGCAACAAAAAATAGTGGGAATTTTTTTCCTCGATTCGGCGGTGCATTCTTTCACGAGCATTAGATACAAAATCTTCTTTGAGAGAAAAATAGTTAAAAAAATAGTTTTCCCTTGTGAAAAGAAGAGACAGACAGATATAAATATTTATTTACAGAAACTCCTTAATATTCTTTCAGAATACATGAATACCTAAACATGAAAATTTAACTTTATGTTTTTTTAAGCTACTTTCACAAATAATGTAAGAATAGCTAAAGTGAAAGATATTTGTGGATTAAGAGTACCGTTTGTATGAAATGAGATTAACTTCATTCAGTAAAGACAATTTAGAGAGCCAAATTAAACTTCTGCAAGTAAACACTGGATTTTATCAAACACTTAAATAGATAAAAACATTATCCTTTCTCGACTTTAAAAAACCTATTGTAACTCTGAATCTTCTAAGATTCAAATTTTTCAGCGTGTTCTGAAATTTCCAGCATCCAACATTTTTAATAAAAGCGTTATTAGCTGATAAATCTGAGTACTGTACATTATGAAATTTTATATAAAATTTTCTTCAGTTATGCATATCAAATTTTCTTCGTGTTTTTGTTGAAACAGAGGCAGAGTTATGTTAAAATTTCAAACGAATGTTTCAAGCTATTTAACAAATTATTGAAAGGAATTTGAACAGCCAGAAAGAAACGAGTAAGAATCATCTAATTTACCAGCACCGATTTATATTCTAAACTAAATGTTTATTATTCTGTAGTTATTATTCATTTATATATATATATGTGTGTGAGTGTGTGTAAAATTTTAAAGCTTGCATAGTGTTAATTTTGCTAAGGAAATGAAGATGATCAATTAAGATATTTAATCGTATGTAAGGATTTATTGCTGTAAATTTAAAGCTATGATCTTATAACTTCTAGCATGATTGAATTAGATATGAATACATATATATAAAAACGCAATTTGATACGTTCCATTATATTAATTTGCCATTTAAGCTCGTGTCATTTCAAAATTAGCAACTAAAATTTCAAAACTTCATAATACACATTATATATGCTCATCAAGTTAATCAACAATATCTCAGGAATAAATTAAGGCAACTAAGTTTTTTTACAGTTCACTTTGTACATATTATGTTTTTCAAATGCAGACAATAAAATGACACCTTAATTATTATTTCATATTATTCGTGTTATAGACAGCGAATTCTGGTGTTTTACATGTATGTGGGCAGTTAGATTTCAGAAAAAAAAAAAAAAAAAAAAAAAAAAACCACGCAGTGAACGGTCAGGAATGTTCCTTCCAGCCAAACATTTTAATGTTACAAGGTCAAACGTGGACATTACATTGTGATTGGTTGAGCACGAATGTAAAAGAAAAGGCACCAGATATAAAAGTAATTATAAAACCTAGCTGGGTGGTTAGCGCGGTAGATTGGAAGGGAACAGGTGGGTTCGGAATTCCCTTGTTCCAATTCAAAGCTTCTCCAATTCAAAGTATTTTTTAGCCTACGAAGTAAAGTATACGAGGTCTTCCCAAACGGGAACTATTTGAAGTTTCTGTAATGATGAGATAAAATTCTTGTTGACACAGGCATAAAGAAAAGTGTATTGAAGATGTTCCTGTGGGGTGTTTTAGAATGTAAATAGTTTTTGCTGTATTTTAGCCCAGAAATAAAGATTTTATACCTTTAGTTTCACGGTCCTGAGTTTCGTGATATTTTGTGGTATTAAAGTGTATAAAGGCAACTTTCTTAACTCTAATACTTAAGTTAAACCTTTCTTTAATAAAACAGTTTTAATTTCAGTTTGTCTCATATTTAATTTGCTTCTCTTAAATTTATAAAGGTTTATGGATTACAAAATGCAGAACAGGTGTGAATTTTTTTGTTAATCTTCACTCATTTTAATAACTATTTAGAGAAAATCATATTTGCAATTAATATTTCTGTCTTATTAATTAACTAATTAAAGATCTAAATATTTTTAGACCTTGAAAGCATATTCACTGGAAACCAAGTTATCTGAGAAATAAATTATCTGCGAAATGTTATTCAGACTAGTAGTTTAAATATGGAAGAAAATCCCTGATGAAATGAAACGGTAGGAATATTTTTTTTTTAAATTGTAGTGACAGAACTTCCTCAAAGTATACCTTCACATATTTCACTTATATACATTTAAATTATTCTACCTAAAAAAGTAATTAAATATTATAACTGCCGCATCTTGATTAAAACTGAGTAACTACTCGTATATATCCTACCATATAAAATATTGAGAAATGGATGACAAAATATATCTTAATAATTTTTAATATTAATCTGCGTTAATATCATTAGGAATTGCAGAAGGGTATTTTAAGAAAATAAAACACCGCCTAATTATTGAGCTTATCGTTGTTTTGAAATAAGACTTAAATAATCATGATTTCTATACTTTAGCATTTTCTTGTAAAAATATTTCTAATCAAAATACTGGTAATTCTACATGTTATGTGTACGTAAATTTAATCATTGCATTAAATAGCAAAAATATTAATTTTTACATTGCATTATCAAGATGAAGCATATAATGCATAAACTAGGGTTATTAAGGAAAGATAATTAGTTATGTAATTTGTAGATTAAAAAAAATTACTTTTATACAGATTTATTTGAGAAATTCTTGGAATTATTAAAAAATTATTAAAATGTTTTTAATGCATTCAGTTTAAAATTTCAAAATATGTACTTACCTATAGTCGATCCATACATGTGATACCAAAAAACAAAGCAGCCTCCACTTAAATAATAAGGATACACTGGGGAGAATAACCTAGATGTATCATTAACTTTTCTTGGTGAAGAAGCCTCTCCATAAAGGTAAAACCCTGTAAAATAATTTATTGAATACACTATTTTACTTAAAGCACAAGGAGACAATTTTCAGTCATTTACTTATTGTTGTTGTATCTTTCTCTTTCACCTAGCATATAGGATGTCAGTAAAATATTGAAAAATCTAACAAGTCAAATACTTGAATAATATGATGCAAGAAGCGAAAACTTTTTCGTTTTAATTCATTTTCTTAAAATGCTTTCACGACTCTTAAAGAGGTGATCTGTTTACTTCGAAATATCTGTGATCTGTTTACTTCAGGTTTCCCAACATTTTTTAGTCCAAAGGGGCTTTGTTCCTGAAGGACTATTGTTTTCGTTTTGCGATTTTGCGTTGAATCACTATAAATGTCCGTTTTACTTTTCAAACTGTTGCCACCAACTGTTAGAGTTCCGCATTATATTTGAAGAAATTAAATAATGAAAAATCTGCATAAATGCATGCATATTTCTCGCATTCTGATAAAACAACGGTACATAGAGCCATCGAATTTTGAATGACGTAAGCCTCCTACGAATATGGGAATGTGGAAGACCAAATTTGAAATTTGGAATTTGTTTTATTATCGATTTTATATTTTGTAACACTTTCACGAATTTTTGATTAACAAACTATACGGTTTAAAAGCGAGCAATGGCTACACTGTACGGGAAAAAAATATCTCCAGCGCGCGAGACTGTGTATCAGAAATTCTCATTAAAGATAGGCTCATTTTAAAATTATTTTTCGATATTGCTATTGAACTGAATTTTATGGTTTAAGTACAAAGAACATGATATTTAATAAATAAAGGTAACACACAAAGTTAAAAAAACGCCCCTTTGGACGTAATTCAAAATCTGAAATCTTTCAGATATTTTTCCTTTCTCTTTTTGTATTATTTTATTCAATTTCATAAGCAATAGATATAGAAACTAATCCTAATTAATTTGTTCTCGAATAATTACTGTAATTTACGATGTTAAGGTGGGAAACATTTTACTTTTAAATCGTTAAAGCATAGTGTATTTTTAACAAACTGCCGTCTAACCGGGATAGCGTTAGTGATTCTGACTGCCGTACTGAAGGGACCTGTTTCAGGTTCTAGAGAAAGCATGGATGTTTGTAAATGTATAGTGTCTGTGCGGCATGGGGGCACTCTAAAGAGGCAGTGAGCGGAAAGTTCTCTCAAGAGGTTGTCTGTACACTTGGAATTTATTTTATTATCGATTTGATATTTTGTAATGATACCTCTGGGGTGCTGTCCATCACAATTGGGGGCCGAAACTGAGCAAAATCGTACTGTCACCTATATGGTGCTCAAGGATCTTGCCATGCACATTTGACTCCTTGCCAGGATAAAAGTTGCGGTCTTGTGCTGACCATTGTGAGACACGTAAGACTGGCAACAATAAAAACAACAGCAATTGGAATTTGTGCCTCAAGTAGACTGCATAAAAACACATTTTGCATACACAAAACTCTATCGTCTAAACTCTTGGAACTGTTTTTCATAAAATTCTGTGCCTTATCTTAAGAAATGTTCAATCTTGAAAACTGCATTTTCAGGAAAAAAAAAAGTATTCAGTTCTTTTTCTAAAATCCTTGAAATGTTTTCTTGGAGGCATCCAGACTGTCCTATTTTTCATGGCTTTGACTGACATACTACAAATGAGATGAGATTAGGATTGGGCTTGCAAACTGGCAGAGTTTAGAAAAGTTTCGTATGATTTTTTCCCTCTTTGTTTAGATTGTGAAGCTTTTTCGAAAATACAGACTCAACTGCACTTCTAGATTTGCAGTGCTTTGCCATCTATATAGATTATTTTCCCTATTAAAGATCGAAAACATTTAAAAACTTATATTTAAGAGAAAAACAACATTAAGTGATTAAGTAGAAGTGCTTAAAACTTGTATGAAAAATCAATTTTAATAAAGACTGATATAAAATATACTTTGAGTTTTTTAAATATTGCACAGTATATCAATAAAATTTCAGTGCCTAAATCAGAACACATTGAGATCTGAAGGAAAAAATTTTGTCATTGTTTAGTTTTCTGTATACTTTTTCTAATGGCAAGTATCTCTTATAACACTCACACAGCTTTTAGACGCGTTACAAGGATGTTATGTTTGAAGTATTTTTTCATACCTTCGTTATATTCCCTAATTTATTTAGTTAAACGGTATTTTTCAAGTTGCGGAAGATAGCTCGCATATCCCAGTATGGCGGGTAAAGCGTTGTTTAAAAACACGCTTTGCTTCGCAGCAGATTGATAGAAGATGAGTAGTTTATTGATTATCGAAGAAAACTTTATTAGTCCTCAACATTCAGCGTTAGTGACTCTGACTGCCGTACCGAAGGGCCCAGGTTCAGATCCCGGAAAAGGCATGGATGTTTGTAAATCTATAGGGTCTGTGTCTGTATGTGTCTGCATATGTCTGTGTCTGTATTTATAGCGTATGTACGTGCGGCATGAAAGCATTCTAAACAGATGGCAAGCCGAAAGTCCTCTTGAGAGGTTGTGGCAGGAGAAGAGCTTGGGATAATCTCGAACCCTTCGCCTTGCCTTGGGGTGCTGTCTCTCAAAAAGGGGGGAGGGGCTGAAATGAGCTGATGTCGGACTGTGACCTATGTGGTATTCAAGGCTCTTGCCAGGCGCATTTGAGGTCTTGATGAATATCAACGATAATATGTAATGAATATGATGTCCGAGATAATATTTAAGAATGAATGTCCAAAATAATATGTAAGAATTGCACGAAATAAAATAAAAAATGAATTAAAGTAATTTTCAACGGAACATAAGTTAAAATGTTTTGATTGTCACAGGCATTAGTTTGCATTCATTTTGTGAGTCTGTGGATAAAAAACATGTACGTTGTGCATTCTTCTGCTTAATGGTGAGACGTTTAATTTAATGCCAAATAAAAAAAAGAAAGAAATTGAAAACATTCCTAAGATGGAAAAATATCATCAATTGTATTGTCTACAAAATACAAAAAATCAGGAACGATTCAACTTTCGGAAACGATATAAAATTAGTCAATGCAACTAAAATCGTATCAACAATTACATTAAAATAATGTAGAACGCAATATGCAAAAGATATTTTTCTTCCTCTAACTTAATATTTAATTTAGTGAGAAAATCTGAAAATCGATTTAAACCAATTTTATTCTGCTTCAGTTGTCAAACTGCTTAATCTGACTTTTCATTGTCTCCAAAACGGCGCAATATCTCTTTCATTGACTCTTTCATGAAATTCTTCAAAAAGCGCAATCTTTAAAAAAGCTTAGAGAGACCTGGTTCTCCGCACATATTTCCACCACACCATTTAAAGATTAATTATTTTTTCTACTTGTAACAGAGGAAACTGTCATGAATGACTGATTTTTGTTGATGATAATTATAAATAGAACTTTAAATAAGTTTTTTACAAATCTAAGCAACTAATTTAAGCTAATAAACTTAATGCAAGCTGAATCGAAGACTTTAGATTTAGTCGGTACATGACAATAAATTCAGTTTGTAAGATATTTCCTTCCTTCTAACCCTATGCCTTCGTAGTGTAATTGGAAAGTACTTCCGACTAGTAATTTGGAAGGTCCAGACTGCCGAATTCTGGAGAGGGCACTGCACATTTTTAACGTCTCCTGTTCTGAAATAAAATGCCGAATGAGCTCTACAAGCTCGTTACTCCTTGCGTAATCCATGAAATTCTTTATTAAAACAAACTTACGTTAAAAAAAATGCAAGCATGTTCTCCGAAGAAAAATGTACTGAAGCTTTTATGCAACAATGCTTCAGTTGTTACCGAATATGCTTTGAAAACCACTAAAGCATATAAATAGTGAATAACCGTATGAATGCAGTTTTGAAGTTTTAAATCTTAGGTTATGTTAATTGATTAAGGCAGAACAACTCCAAGGTTATCTGCCTGTGGGGAGGGATGACATCGTGGAGGAGTTTTTGAAGAGAACATCTGCGTTACACATGGAGAAAATCACGAAAACCGATAATGCAGCCAGCTCGTTTGCCGGAATTCGATTCTAGGTCGAACTACCAGTGTTCAGAGACGTTATCCTTAGGTTTCTAGTGGGCCCTGAAGTTTTATATAATATATTTTGTCTTATAATGCTTGTAAACTGCACACATGTAGAATAAGACATCATATGCTTATAGATGCAGTCATATTTTTGTTGTGTACCACAAGCATAATCCTCTAAGCCAGCTGATTGAAAATATTTTGGATGCAAGATTTAATTATCATTCTTAAATTCATAAATTTATGCATGTCTGTGTGCCTCGTAGCAGCTGAAATTTTAACAGAGCAGTTTTTACATATTTTCTATATTGTACATATTCTTAAAACTGTACACCAATATTGATATGTTTCTAAAGAATTTATTTCAGAATTATTTATGTCATCACTAACGAAGTATCTGGTAGCCAAGAAATTTCTTGCGGTTTTTATCACTCATCAAAAAAGATTCAAGAAAATCTTAAATACCCATTTCATTCTTCGAAATAATAATCATTGGCTTCAGTTACATGCTCCCAACGATACGTAGGCTTATAAATGCTCTTTTTGAAAAACAATCCTTTTTTTCTATAGTCCAAGAACTGTGATGCAGCTTTTGTGATATCGTTGTAACTGCTGTTCCTGCACGTGGTTATCCATGGTCAAAAGTAGGTAACAGTCAGATGGGGCGATGTCCGGGGAATAGGAGCTGAGACAGAACTTCCCAACCCAGTATTTTGGCCATCTTTTTGGTCGCTTTTGCCCGATGAGTTCTGGCATTATCGTGGAGGGGGAAATTCCTCTTCTGTTAACCAGTGCTGGCTTTTTCTGATGCAGTTTCTGATGCTGTTTGCAGTTTTGACGAGGGCATCTTAGCTGTTATATTTTTTTCGCTTCCTAAATATTCAAATATCAAGATTTGGTCCAGAAACGAGGTTTTATTACGGTGCTACAGCAAAGACAAGCAGATGTTCAACCGTTGGAGATGTTTTCTCGTCACACAGGATATAAACAATCCACTTGCTTAGTGCCCAAAGTTATGAAGACATGATCGAATGGTTTCGTCAGATACTTCAAACCTGTATGCAAGCTCCTAGCAAGTTTGATGAGGATCCTGCTTGATATCCTCCTCCAGCTGGATTTTGTTGAGGGAGGATGGATGACCAACACGAGGCTTATCTTCAAGGCTCTCGTTTCCAGAAGAACATCGGCTAAACCAACTTTTGAGAACTCCGTTAACTCATTCATGTCTCTTCAAGCACGCTGCACCTTCTTCACCGCCCCTGCAGCTTTGTTTCCAAATTTGTACTCTTAAAGCAAAATAGGCCTAAAAATCTCCTTTTCCAATGGTATGTTCTTAGATTGCGCTTCCTACATAACAAGTAGCGAAACGTGCGATTCTCTAACAGCTCTCTGTTGAATAAGGTTTGAAAGGAAGTGCAAAAAAATTATGTCATCAAAATCAGAAAAAATTATGTCATCAAAATCAGAAAAAATTATGTAACGCGCCAAATGTAACTGTCTTCAAAAACCCCACGAACTTTCTTGGTTACCTGGTACTTATTGTTAGTCTTATCTGATTCTTTTACTTACCAGAATCGATGTGTTTTATTTGTGAATATTAGATTTGCCGAACATGAGCAATACTCCCATACCATAATTTAACGTACGACGCAGAATTGTAAATTAATATGGCGATTTGGCCACTTAAGCTGAAACTGCGTACAGGCTTGTACTGCATGCAGTCTTGTCACTTCATTAGAAAATAATGTGTTAGCAAACCACAACGAAATAGCCGATTATTTGAAACCGTTCACTAACCCAGAGGTTTGCTATCATGCAATTTATGAACATTGAAGAATGTAAAGCAAAATGCACAAAGGGTAAAAAAGCAGTGCCAGAGACACAACTGCATTATTTCAGAATGTTTACACTTGAAACTCTCAAAAAGCAAGCACTGCTTCAAAATCAATTATTGAGTGAGAGTGAGGTTTTTGGCGCAAAACCAAAGATGATTATGACACGCCAAACACAAGGTGGGATGATCAAAATTATGAAAATAAATTTAATAAATAAAAACAAGTGGACACATGTACCGAATAAAGAGGATGAAGTCATATAAAAACAAGGTAAAAGCACACATTAAAATCCAAGACACAATATTCAAAATAAATTACATTAGATAGTAAAAGCCAGTCTCTTTTAAATAATAAAATAAATTACAATTAGCCAGTCTTCCAATTACACGATCGAGAGGTAAGTCATAGCTATTAAAATATTTCTGACGAAGACCATTAAAACATGGACACTCAAAATATGACGGACAGATAAACAAACATTACAATTTGAACAAACAGGCTCATTCTCAGCTTTCAAAAGGTAGTCATGCGCCACTCTAGTGAGACCAAATCTTAGGTGAGTCAAAAGAACTTCCTCCTTACGATTTCCAGCAAAATTCCAATGCTAAATTGTAGGGTTGATATTTCTCAACTTGTTGTGAAGCTGAACGTCCCAAATTTATTGCCCTTTTTTTCGGATCTTTCCATTGAAGACACAGCAGATGTCTCTAAAAGGAATAAGGTGACTGGACAGTTCAACAGCAGATTTTGATGCGATATCTGCAAGCTTGTTTCCCTTTATTCCCGCATGCCCGGGAACCCAGCAGTAGAAGATTTCATATCCTTGAATCGTTAAGTTTATATGAATCTTGAGAATATCCACTACCACAGGATTCTGAGTGTTGGGAAAAACTTCCAACGCTTTAAGAACACTATACGAGTCTGTATAAAATATGAACTTTTTGTGGCAGAGCTTTGAGATGTACAAAAGACCATAATATATTGCAATTGGTTCAGATGTTAAGACAGAAAAAGCATGGTGCAAACGTTTGCCCTCAATGTGATCTTCAATTACAAATGCCATCCCTACATGATCATTTGACTTGGATCCCTCTGTATATACTGGAAGATAACTGCTATATTTATGTCTGTGCTCAGCAAAGAGTTGTCTGTAAACGATATCGTTAGTGCTTGCCTTCACGTGATGGTCGAAAACATTAAGAAGCTGGATCCGTTCATTTTCCCAAGGTGGGATATCTAAATTCTGCACTGCAAATCAATTATTGAATATTCTTTCTTTCGAAGTTCATGAATTGATACACGTGCATTTAATGCGGTGAGAATTAAAAAATTATATAATATTTTCAATCCCATTTGTACATTATTGATAAATATAAACAATATGTTGGTGTAATTTTTTGATTTCATATACAGCTTGACTACATTTTTTCTCCTTAACTATATTTTTATTTCAGTCTACATTATACATTAGTATGAAATACAAATTTTGTTTCTTATTCCTACGATATGCTGGCTTTTATGGCATAAGAACATGAAGCAATAAAGAACTTCCACAAATTTTGAAAATGTGCATAATTATAGTTAATAGATAAAAATTAAAATTAAATATTTATTCTTATTTGGGCTGTGAGAAGTATTTTCTGAATATGTTTTACAAGAATATTATACCCAATTATATGATGGGCAATCATATAATATGCAAGAAATATGGCATAGTGTTTATAAACATTAGCATGAAGGGAATTTTTAGAAGAACACAACTTTAAATTAAGTTTAAACTACATTTCAGCATTACAATCTAGATTACTTATAACCAGATATCTTCTGTTTTTCAAACATTTTATAAGATTTGTATATAAGTAATAAAGAGCATTTAAATTACAACAATGTCTTGGGAATTTTCAGTTTCTTAGGAATTATATTAATTTATTGGGAAATTTACATTTAATTTTGCATTTAACTTAATCCTCTTGTAATTTAGATAAAGTACATCAGGCATCAAATCTAATGAAACAATAAATTACCTCTTGGCGATATGGATTTTCAATTCTTCTTACATTCACAGTAAATTATCTTTTGCTGATATAGATTTTCCATTCTTCTTACATTCCCTTGAGCGCGCATAAAAAACCATGAGTATAGCTTTTTCTAATGTACTAGTTTTAAGAGTGATTAGTTTCAACAAGATTTTCATCTAACTGCTTCTTGGTCTCCATAGCGAAAGCTGAATAGAATATACTTCGATCCTGTTTTATTTCCCTAATTGTGTCATAATGTGTCATAATGTGATTGTAAATCCAAATAAAATCATTTGCTCTTACCTCCTTTTCCTTCTCCAAACGTGTGATCGAAAGAAGGTCCGGTTCCCACGTGACCTGAAGGAGTAGAAAATTGGTGTCTTCTCCATTCAAAATCCTGACGGGGATCATGTGTCCAACCACAAAGATCTGGATCTTCGAAATCACATGAAGTCTTTGGATCTTGCATCGCGGCTGGAATAGGAAAGGGGAGCTGAAGTAACATAAAATACACCTAACATATATACGTATAGGAAAAGAGTATACTGCAGTCAAAACCCATAACAAATGTCTTTAGAAACATGTTTATAAATTAAACTACTGATTAAACTACTACTAAGACATAAAATATGTTAAGAATTTATGATTCGTAGTAATATTTTGCAAACAAATGTTTAAAAAATAGATATTATTAGCAAGATACGTTATATAGTATTAAAAGCTATATTTATTAATTCTTTATTAATCATCAAGAAGCATATTGTTTTCAATAATTAGCTTCTTACATCTATCTATAAAGTGTATTTTCTTATAATTTGATAGAAAAAGAAAATGGTTTGCAAGTGAAACTTATTAAGAAACACATAAATATTTTTATATCATTAACTACACTGAAAAAAGCGTTTTTCTGAAATTTGAAAGATACATTACTGTTTCTATTGATACTTGACAAAATTGATACTTGCCTCAAGATCAGAAACTTTCCGCACTTTAATAATTGAAGATCATATAATGTGGGGAGTGATAGCAGCTCTCAGAATGTCGAACTTGTAGAGTACATGGATGGTTAATGTAATGGTAAGATAATGAAATACAACTCGTCATCATGAATCGGGATAAGAAATATGGAAGGACAGGTTACAGATGTTTTTAATATCAAAACCAAGAAAAAGTTAATCTCTCTTGGCTTTGCTCTCGGTCAAAATTAGGAGCAGGTTCAGGCAGATGGCTCTTGGGTATACTTTTCCTTAATTAAATAATACAATCCAATTCGTTTCTTATGTAATTTAGTAAGAAAGCGACTCTTTCAACAGAATTGGTTAGTTGATATACGGTGATGAAAGATGCAAAATTCTACATTTGCAAAACTTATTTTTTAGTCTCTTAGCTAACCCCAAAATACTCTCACAGGAACTGTTCCAAATGATTAAATTAAAATTCAGATAAATTATTGTTCTAGTGAAATATACGAAAAAAGTTTTCTTTCGGTAAAATAAGCAAAAATAAAAACATGCAAGAACCATGGAAAACACTCCAAGAATCCTGGAAAAAAAGTTCGTTAAACGTCAAATCCTTCTATACAACTAGTAAGAGGAAAACATTTTTCCAATTTCCTTCATTATCAGTCACTGAAATGCTCCCAAAGAAAATTGAAACGCGTTTTGCGCACAGTCATGCGATCATACATCATGCGTCATGCCATCAAACATATGTTCTTCAACGGTTCTAGTATAACATCTTGCGCATGGGAACAACTAAGCAAGCATGTGGTTGAGTAAGGAGAAGTAAATAAAGCTTGTATTTCGCAAAAAAGGGAAAAAATTATGCAAAATGTTTTAATAGTAAGCATATGGAAAACGTTATCAATTTTAGTTCTTATAGTTTCAGTTGTTTCTTTATATACTCTTAGACACAGAAAACGACGCACCGAGAAGATATAAAGCAACCTGGACACAAATTGATATACATACAGGTTTCGACCGAAAATGCAAAATTTTACATTTTTGCTGCCAATGAATGAACGGTTGTCGCTACAGCGCATCTGATCTGCGCAACTGGCAGGATATTTAAGAGGAGAAATTACGATTCCAGGTCATAAATTCTTCCCTAATTTCATTCCGTGTACTCTGGTAGACAGTAACTATGGCTCGCATACAAGTGCGCGAACGATATGCGCAGATATTAGAATTTGAGAGAGGTCGTGTAGTTAGGCCCAAAAAAGCCGGTTGGTCATATCGGCTTATATAGCTCCACATTTGAGTAGGAGCGATGCCACTATTAGACGATGTTGGCAGGAATGGGTGAACCATGGCCGCACACAGCGTCAAAGAGGAAGCGGTAAGTCTAGAGAAACGACAAAACGAGCAATCGTGAGAGCGGCACTCACAGCCCCAGATGCATCATTATCATCGATTGTACGTGCAACTAGTGCTTCAGTAACTGCAATGACCATTCATAGACGACTCACAGAAAGCGGGCTGAGGTCACGGCGCCTCTTGCGCCGAGTACCATTGACCTCTGTACAACGTCAAGCCCGTTTGCAGTGGCGTCGGGCTCATTCGCACTGGAATATCACTGACTGGAGTAGAATAGTCTTCAGTGATGAGTCCCGCTTTCAACTGAGCCCGATGACCAGCGAAGGCGAGTCTGGAGACGCCCCGGAGAGCGGTGTGATACCAACCTGACTGTCTTCCGGCAGAAATGCCGACAACCAGTAGTGATGATCTGGGGTGCCATTTCATTTCATAGTAGTACCCCTTTAGTTGTCATCCGTCGCAACCTTACAGCACAGCGGTACGTCGACGAAGTTCTAAGGCCCGTTGTGTTGCCCTTCATGTCACGCCACCCTGGGCTTACATTTCAGCAAGATAATGCCCGCCTCCACACTGCACATGTTTCTACTGCTTGCCTTAGTGCTTGCCGAACATTACCTTGGCCAGCAAGTTCGCCCGATCTCTCTCCTATTGAGCCCGTCTGGAGCATTATGGGCAGGAACCAACCAGCTCGGGATGTTGACGTTCTAACGCGCCAGTTGGACAGAATTTGGCACGATATCCCTCAGGAAGACATCTGCAACCCCTATCAAATTGATGCTAAGCCGAATAACTGCTTGCATAAGGGCCAGAGGTGGACAAACGCGTTACTGAATTTTTCCCTTTGTGAAGCTCTATAACTTCAATAAATCAATCAGTTTTTCTCAAACTTTAATCATTTGTTTTTCTGTACATATACATCACATGTACCGATTTTGGTCCCATTCGGATAACTCCATTTTGGTGCGACTTTTTTTTTTTTTTTTTTTTTTTTTTGTCTAAGAGTGTATTTGATGCAGCTATATTTTCAGTGCTTTTAAAAGTCTTTCTTTATTCATATTTTGTATCAATCTATATACATAAATAAAGAAGAAAGTCTGTGTGTTTGTTTGCTAAACTCAGTAACTACTATAGCTATCGTTACTAAACTTAACAAAATTCTTTTCTAGGTCCTGGAAAAGGTCGACGTACACTGTAACGTTATTGATTTCTGATCAATTATAATAAATTTGTTTGCAGCATTTAATCAACTAAAATTGAATATATATTAGGTGGAACTTGAGCTTTTACGACCATTTGAATAGAAAGACGAAAACCGTTACAAACTACGTGCCATTGTTGTTGACATAATGAGAGAGAATTAGCATATTTTACTGTCCAAACTTTTATATGAGTTGCATATCGCATCAGACTGAACCTGTATTCCTATGAATCGTATTTTTTACGTCGTTATTAGAGAAGGATTACAACAGCATCGTTCTTTCAACAGATCATTGTTAGATGCATTACTTTCTATTTAATTTAACTGACATCGGGTACTTCCACTAGTATATTATAGAACAATATAAACTTCTCATTGTTCAGCAAGTAATGAAATACTTTCTTTGAAAGCTTTCAGGTAATTTTATAGGTTGTTTAATTTGTTACTTGAATTCACAAATACCCGTGTAACACTGCGCACTTTATTTATAGAATTCCACAAACAGCATTAACTCTGCTTATGTATGATAAACAAATTTAGTACGAAACGAAAATTGAATTTAATAATCATTCTCACGAGCTAGTATGTCATAAAAGTTTTTGCATTATTATTATTAACATGGTGTTTTCTTTTTTATATTTCTGGCTTAAAAGGAGAAAAAATAAACGTTCTTTTCGTTTGATAACGCAAACCTATCTTATATTTAGATTCTCAGATTGACTTTTTAACACTTGATTTTTCACAATACAATATTTTTATATTAATTTTATGATTGCAGTTATAATATGCAATAACTGCTGGAGGTTAAATAGTTGAGCTGCTGAAAAATTTAGGAATAGAATTTTTGAGAGCTTGGCGCTGTGAATACTGCAGTTAGCGGCAGACGACAGATTAAATTCAGAGTTTTAATTCAGCTAGTAGAGAAGGTAACACTACTTGAAAATGGCGCAATTATAAATGCAGCTTTTGTGATTTTATTAGCATTATTATAGAATATTGACTAAACAAAAATAATTTCACGCAGAACGTTCTGCTAGATTACAAATAGTTATATCATCTATTCTCACAGATGATATAGTTTTACTATTAAAAGCGAATGAAATAAAAACTGAAAAGCATGATATAAGTAACTAATAATAAATGAGTTCAATTAATCGGAAAGAAAGACACAGTACCTCTAAATGTTTCATAACATGCTTTCTTTACATGAATATTCATCGTAATGAAACTCTTCGATATCATACCTTTAACAATCTGTTGATATTTAGGATAAGGAATATTGTTGTTTAACACTGGTATTGGAATAATGTTTTATTTGATCAGATCAGTAATTTCAGCTCAAAATTTTAAGCAAAGGCTAAACCCTAATTATTCTTAAGGGGACGGTGGACTTTAAAAATTAGTTTTTTAAGTTTTTGTGTTTTGAACAAGAAATTTTATGAATATACATATTATAACATCAGTTTATAAAATATGTGTCCAAATTTCAATTTACATTAAAATAAATAATTAATTATTTTACTTAAAGATTTAAAATGCTCCTTGCGCGCTAATTTTCAATATTTTCTCCTAATTTTTCCTTTTAGTTATAAAGACTTGAAAAAAGTTTTTGTGTATCCATTATTGAATACGATGGATCAGAAAGTTTTTAAAAGGATTTTTGTGAACTTAAACCCAGTTTTTGGAAAAATGTCACCTTCTGTTAAATATTATCACAAGTTTAAATTTCTTAATAACTTCATATCCGAAAATTCATACACAGATCTATTGTAACATGTAACAAGATAGTTTCTTCCAAATATAATTCATTTTTAACTAAAAATAAGACGTAAGGAGCATTTTCAAGACATATGAAGTGCGAAAAATTTTGTTTTGAGAAAATTTAAAGTTTTTCTTCAAACTTACGTTTAACATATGGTCATGAGAAACAGCAAATTAACTTTAAATATGAATATGTAGACACTAGATAACA